CAACCACCCGACTAGCGTATTGGTGCCTTGCGCTGAGCGGATGCGTCCGAGCGCGACCGAGTCCCGGCTGTGTGTACAGGGACGTGGCCAAACTCTGACACCCGGGGACAGAGAACGGCCTCTGCGGGGTCTCTGACGAAAGCAGCCCTGGGGGGATGCCGGGGGGTGCTCCTGCTCCAGCCAGAGACCCTCCGTGAGGGTGCCTGTGGAGGGGCCCTGCCAGCACACCCCAGGCAGGGATGGGACAGCTTGTGGGTGAGCTCAGGGGACCCCATTTCAGAGCCCCTGGTGGTGCTCCTTCACTGCCTGGCCAGCTGGGCGGGAAGAGCTTTACCAAAATGGACTGGGGGTCCCAGGGGGCAACGACTGCAACAGAGTGCAGCCAACTGCACGCTGGGCTTATTCCCATAAGCGTGAGCAGCAGGTGGAGAGAACTGATCATTCCCCTTTAGTCAGCTGCTTCCTTGGTCATATTTTTCTGGGACCAAAGGCACTGGAGGAGGGCAAAGCAGGCACAGGCTCTGAGCAGGGCTTGCTTGTTGGTGGAGATGGTGCCCATACCACCAGGGACAGGTGACCCATGCCAGGTTACAGGATGCTGCTGTGCAAACTCCCCTCTGCTGGGGATACATGCTGGGACAGACCACAAGGAGACCAACACACAGTTAAGTTCCACTTGCAACACCATTAGCAATTTATTAACCCATCAGTCAGTGTGACTTCCATCTCTGACAAGGAAATGTGAATGAAAGCTGCACCATATCCTGAACAGAGGCACCTGCTGCACTGGGGGATGGCTGGAGCCCATCGACCCAGGCTGTGCCCTGACACTCAACACCTCAGTGCTTTCTGCTTCAGCTTCCCCTTTTTTTGAAGTGGCAATGATGCTGATGACTTCACCTGTGAGGCTCTGGGAAGGCACATGCCACCAGCTGGGGACAGAACAGTAAGAAAACTGGGAGAAGCACGCCTCTTTCATGTCTGTCTGGGGGAGAACAGGTGCCCTTCCCTTCCCAGCACAGGCTCCACAGCAGAGAGCACTTCAAAGGCAGTCACTGGCATTCACAGCATGGAGGGCAGCTCTGCAGGGATTGTGCAGTGCACCCCAGCACGATGCTGGGCACAGGGGAGGCCCCAAATCCTGTGCTCTTGCTGTGGACAGCCAACCTGGCAAGCATGAGGGGAAGATAAACGCAGCCTTGCTCTCCCCAGGATGAGAGAGTCTGTCTAGATATGTAATACAACACAGCTCGTCAGCTTTCTCTTCTCAGATCACCAAAGTGGTCTGAAAAGGCACTTCATGCCCTCTCCCACAAGGGAGGATATACCTGGCAAAAACCTTTAAAAATGGATTTTTAGAAAGAAAGCAGAGACTCCGCAGCACCACGGCAGCACTCCTCCCCGACAGAGGCAGTGGTCCATGTGTAAGATGAGCACTGAGATATCCTATGCAGCAAATGGCCCCCTGGCCCCATGCAGCAGCCAATACCTAGAACAAGTCAGAGGCCACAGCACCTGCAATGGCCTGGGCAGACAAGGCCTCCTTCACAGTCTCCCCCACCCCAGCTGAGGAGCCAGACTGCAGCTGCCCAGCAAGAGGGCTGTTGGGATGAAGCCGGCAGAAACGCCCGAGCGTCCAGATGGGGAAGACATTGCGGTACGCAGTGTAACTGATGGCACACGACTTGTTGAACACTCCAGCAATATTCTCCTGAGAGAGAGATAAGAGACCAAGGCAGTATGGGTGACAGGGGACCACGGTGTGTCCTTAAGTCCCCACCAAAAGCCACGCGTGGCTTCCCTTCCAGGTAAGGGAAAGCACAGCATTGCAATGGCTGCATGATGCCCACGAAATCTGTAGTAACAGAGAACCCCTTGGAAAGACCCGAGGAAGGATGTACCTGAGGCCAGTCCCCGTTGGGCAGCTGCTTATCAATCAACACTTTGATGCCCCTTTCCAGCACATCGACATCAGGGTACCTGCAAAGCGCAAGGGGAATGTGAGTACTCTTATCCAAACCATCTGCAAACCCCCAATCCATGTGCTTAGGGAACTCAACTGCTTCCAGACTGAATCGAGCTTGTCCCAGGCATGCTGAGTGCCTTCGGATGGCCCCTTACAACCCAAGGACACCAGACAATCTGAATACGGCAATATTTTCCCAGGCTGGAGGCCTGCAGTTGTAATCCAGACCTTTGCTTTGCACTGGCTCCCCCTCGCCCGGCATTAGGAGCCTCGCTGGCCTGCAGAGCACTGTGTGGGCCAGTCCCTCAGTGCACGAGGCTTGTGACCAACAAGATCTAAATGAATGCGGCTGGGTGCATGGCCCACACCAGCCAGGCCCAGAGCCCGTGCCAGCCCTGCCACACAACTCAGCCTGCATTTCCCATCTTGCTGAGCTCTCGGGGACAGGCGGTGACTGAAGAGGTGAGGGCTGCTCCTACCTGACAGCCATGAGCCCCAGCAGGGCCCAACATGTGTTGTGGATCTGCGACGTGGCACTCTGCACGTACGTGCGCTGCTCGCATGACTCAAAGTCCTCTCCCCACCCGCCATCTGTCATCTGTTTGGAGAGGAGGAACTGGCAGGCCTGGGCCACCTCTCGGCATGCAGCCCTGCAAGGATGGGGCAGAAAAACAGACAGGCCTGAGGACAGGGAGCGTTTACACGCCCAAGTTTCCCAGCTGCAAAGAGGAGCTGTGCTCTGCTCTGCTCACGGCCAGGACTTCCCCGAGAGTTCAAGGCTCAGGCAGCGAGTGCCCTGGTTGTATCGCAGGCACAGGATTTGGGAGGAGCAGCACCTGGGGCAGGAGAGCCCATGCACAGCCAGGGCATCCACCCAGCCCCACCACAGAGTATTGTCTCAGCCCAAGAGGTAGGTAAGGGCAGGGGAATCAGACAGCCCCTTCTCACCCATCACGGTAAGTGTGCTGCATACTGGCGAACGCCTCCAGACCAAACCAGGTGCCATAGGTGAAACAAACCCCCCAGCTCCTAGGAGGAAGGGGAGAGCAGTACTGTCAGGGGTGCAAGGCCCCAGGTAGAGGCAGGCTGTGACACAGGTGAGTTCAGAGCAAAAGCAGAGCCAGGCATAGAGCTGCAGCCTGCACAACCATGCCTGGTCCCACCAGCACCTGCTCCCAGCTCACTCAGGCATCAGCAGACACTCTGGGATCACAGGAGCTGGAGCCACCCTAGCCCCCAGAGGCTGGCTGGGTCTTGTGCAATGCACAAGGTGCCTGCTCTGCTTGGGCTGGAGGGAGAGGAAAGGAGAGCAAAGCACAGGAGCTAGAGGAGGATCAGCCCCTACTTGCCCTTTCCACAGATCCTGCCAGCCAGGAATTTTTGCCATCAGTCCCTCTCATAGTGAGGCAGCCGGGGGAAAACTGGGCACCGGGAACACTGCTTACCCTTCCCATGACCCATCAGCTCGCTGCTTCCTGCGACAGAAGTCCAGGCCCTTCTGCAGAGTCTCCCTAGTCAGGAAAAGGAGACCCATTTCAGAAGTTCCTCAAACTCAGTGGCTGCTTCATCACGGGCATCCATCAGTCCCTCTGAAGCTTTGATGGGTCCCATTATTAGAGGGCTCAAGAGGCAAGCAGATGCAGACAGGCAGGCATGTTGTTCAGGATCTCAGAGTCAAATCGTGCACAAGTTGGGTGCTTTTCTGCCTCATGCCAGCACACAAGCAAGGGACCCAGCCTACAGCTGGCTGCAAGATCCAGGCAACTGCTAAGAGGCAGGCAGATCTCCACCAGCTTCCCCCCGCCTGATCCCAAACAGCTTATGCCCCACTCCTGGAGAGGCTAGGCCCCAGCCTCTTGCAGGGGGCTCTGGTTTGAAGTCACTAGCATTCCAGCTGTGCACACACCAAGGGCCACTGCAGGGGCTGCTCTGTGCCAATGCAGCGGTCCAGGCAAGACCCCTGACAAGGCTCGGGCGGGGGCT